GACCTTAACGACGGGACTCCCCTGCAGAGAAGTGGTAAAGTTTTCCCGGGACAAGTGCTCCCGTTTGAGCAGCGTTGCAGTATCGAGTCCTGCCATGCTCCATATTTTATAGGTGACCGTCCTGGAAATAGGCTCAGTTGTTGATTTCTTCCTGGCCGAGCAGATGGACCGACGTCTTCGCATCGCGTGTCGGCACCATCATTTCTTTTTATTGCCATTTGCAGGTATTAACTCTCGCTTGTGGGAATGACCACGAAGGACCCTGGGCACGGTCAACACCCAGCCCATGGGCGGCAAGTTCAGGGGTGCCAAGAGGATCCAACCAACTACCCCTGACAAATCCGGTTATTACGTCACTCATTGCTCATTTTTTATGTCTTCGTGACATTCATGTTTAAAATCCCCTGGAACTACTCTTAGCTCATTCTTTGTACGTATACGATAACAGAATCTGCATAAATATATAAATATATAAATAAATCTATAGCTTCTGCTATTGCATGACGGAAATGTGCGGAAATGTGCTTGGGGCGTTACTGGCTTCTACTTTTGCTAAGTGAAAATGTCCCTTTGTGGGAGTCATGGCCACCTCGCCATGGCCCGTGCACTCCTCACTCAAAAGAGCTTCTCACAGCTCGAGATAAACTTCCATTCTTAGGGTAAGTTAAGGAAATTCCGACCCTGCTATGAAGTCCGATCCCCACATCACATGTTTCAACGTAAGTAGAAATCGAATCCACCTTTTCCAACCAAATCACGCCTATATCCGGCCTGCAGTGGTGCAACCAAGGGGGGAGGGGGGAAGGGGTTGAGGGGATCTCAACCCCTCCCACCCCCCTTATCCTTGCTCGTCATAGTGGGTGACATGCACCGAATCCTATTAAAGCTAAACTAATCTGATCTCACAATGGTCCCCTATGGGAATCAGTTTGACCGAGATGAACTTATTCCCATAGACACTCATTATGAAAACATTAAAGGAATCTGGTGCATGTCTCCTAGCATCTCTGCTCTTCCATCCCCCACTCCCCGAGGGTGGGGGAGACGCAGAGAGATATCAAGTGCAGACGACGTGAGAGCGAAGCTAGAAAGGAATTAAGATGGAAGGCGAAAGGTGAAGGTCGCGCCAATCACACGTGGCTACTCGCTGTAGTAAAGTTACAATGGCACAGAAGCATCATGCACATGTGACACTGCTGAATTTTTTCGGAAAACGGAAGGACATAGCCTAGGATGAAGAGCTGGAATCACGTACAGGTTAGCAAATTTCCAGTCTGCGCAGTGAAATTTAGGTTGAATCCCGAAATTAATTTCGATTGTCTTTAGCTTTTTTTTTATCTTCAAATGTGGAATGTACTTTTACTGTTTTAATTTCCTGTTTAAATTCCGTTTTCACCATTTCATGAAATATTGCTTCGTTTCATTTTCTATTTTCGCGCGTTCCTCCTCGCTTTGGGTTTACGTAGTGAATGCATCTTTTGATGCAGGAAGGATTGAAACTTGCAAGAACGCCAGATGACTCAGAAGCGTCCCTCAAAGCAACAGCATTTATTATAAAAGAGACCTCGAAAACTCGCATGTATTTCCATGGAAACTGCTAAGGGGCGAATTAGAACATTTACGCCCGAGGTACATGGTTTCTTTAGAGTGAGATTGGCGCCCAGAAAGATGAGAGCTACTTCACTTTTTTTAATTTAAAGAAAGATATTTAAAATATTCTGCAAGCCTCAGATTTATGTAACGAATTTGCGAAATGTCGGGGGGAGGGGGGGGGGAGGGCTAATCCGGTATTGACTCGTGCAGCTTTTAGAGAGGGTTGCTGGAGACTGTTTAAAATGATAGGGGGAATAGCTTTTATTTTCTTCTACGGTTCTTCTACGGTGAAGTGATTGATACACGGCCAAATTTGGCCCATTTTGTGAGATACTCTCTAGAGTTGAGGCCGATATACTGTTCCACGGTACATTTTATGTTTCAAAAGCAAGAGGGTGTGAGGATGTCCACGTGCAACCCAGCTCTTGCAAGTGATCGGTGACACTTCTCAGCATTCTCACAGGTCCTGATCACGTTTTCATCAATTCATAGTACATTCGAAATCCCCCCGCAGATTCGGGCCAAAACCCGTGCACAAAAATCGACGTCACGAAAAGGGAAACTCGAATTTTTTTACGTTGGTAAGCCCATTGAATTCAGGTCGACCGTGCGAACTCGATCACAATTTCACTCCGATATTCCCAATTCCGAATTTACGTTAAATCGATTTTCCGAGTTCGCATTATGAGGTGCGGTCTGCAGAAAATGTACGTGTTAAACTTTCATACTGGACTTCTTGTCTGGATTGGTCTATTCTCATCGAAAAGATCGCAGAGGATGCAGCCTCTGCAGTTGCGAAAGTTGAAAAGAATGATATTTTTGCATGAACAGATGTGAACAATTCTGGCTTTAAATTGAGAAACTGTACCCACTAAGGTCAGTTCCGGGAATAGAAAATGAAAGTCTAGATGAAAGATCAGCGTTGAAACACAAACAAGAAAGGAGAAACGGAGGGAGCAGAAATCCCGTCCCTACTTACCGTTCCACATTATGGCCGCTTGGTGCATTGTTGGAAAAAAGTGCTAAGTCCGTGGTTCCACGCTCTCGGGTGCGGGTTTGTTCTCCGGAACGAGAATGGACTAGGAATTAGTTCTCGAGCTTAAAGGTTCACAGGCCACTGCATCGGGGAAAACCCACCTATAGGGTGCGCGAGAAGATTGGAATTTTCATCGCGGGTAGAAGGCAAGGAGAATGGCAGCAACAGGTGGTCTCTACGATCTACATGCCTCGCCTTTGGAATGTTACGGTCGCTCGAATGCGCCATTCCCCTGCAACTTAAGTCATTCGTTCCTTGGACTAGCAAGTGCTCTCCGTGCTCGCTCCATCCGGCCTCGTTTCTATCTCGTCCCGAGTCCGAGGGTTTCGCATCGAGATCGGTTCACGCATTCCTGTAGCAGGAGGGTGGCGAGGTTTTCTGGAGCCGCCTCACCCGCGTTTTTAACTCCCATCTATGGTGGCCCCGAGGTCCCAATACTCATTCCATTGCCGTCACTATACTCGTACGCTACTGGCCCAAAAAAAGTTTATACCTAGAAAATTTCGCATTCGAGCCAATAATTTGTCCCAGATGCACGAATGACAGTTGTACATGCTAGTCGGAATGCTAGTCCGATCGTAAAATTATGCGAAAATACTCAATTTCATAATTTACTGGAATATTATCATCATGACAACACGGACAACTCAGTCTAAAAACGGGTGGTGCTCCACTTCAGCCTCCAAAGTGGAATCTACAAGTATTGGCATACTGTGACCAATGACCGGAAACAGTCGATTGGAATATCATCGCATCGCTAACAGTTTCAAGCAGCTCTACATTGTTCCTACGGCGCTTCTCGGTCACTCTTTTGCCGATAACATTCGAGACATGCTCGATCGGATTCAAATGTTCGTCCTGCTCCGTCCAGGGTTGGACATCGATGACAACTTCCTCCGATTTGGTTCTGGACCTTCTAGAATTGTGTGCTGGGGTCAATTCATGCCAAAAAAGTTTATTCAGCAACATTGTAGAAGAGCGGTCGTTTGGTAGGAAAGCCGTGATTCTCCATCGGTAGGCAATATTACTATTTTCGCATCCTCTTTGCATCAGACCGAGTTACTGATACCTTGATTGCTGATCATTCCGCATACATTAATACCATCACCTCCCGAATTGACAGTCCTCTTCCAACAACATTTGCTTAACCGTTTCACAGATCGTCTCGAAACCAGCCCCCTGCCGATGAGAAACCAAGCAGAGCTGCGACTCATGACTGAAAGGAACTTTTCTTCGATGCGCTTCATGCCATTCTGCACATCTCAGCGCCACCCCAGCCTTCACGTTCCTTACAGTTGAGAGTGATTTTCTGGCTGCTCTGCATCTCCTTAAGACGAAGTTCTTCAGATACCACCCGAAGAAGAGGCTCGAGTAGGCATAGGGGTATGTCGACTTGAATGAGGAACGTCAACAGGAATAAGGCACGATAAAGTCCAATCTCGCTTGTAAGATGAAATAAATATCCGAGCCATGTGATGAGTGATGGGAAGAACCGACAACTCCATCCCGTCCATTCCTATCTCCCGTATGAAAATTGCTTATTTCTGCTCAGAAGGCGTTTATGTTAGAGAATCAAAATACTGTAGAAACATTTCGATTACCTCTGACTGCAGTAGGGTATTTCACCTCATGAGCCTAGGAGGGGGGGGGGGGCGAAGGGGGGAGAAGGGGGGGGGGGGCTCAAACCCCAGCGGGAAGGGGCGCCNAGGGGGGAGAAGGGGGGGGGGGCTCAAACCCCAGCGGGAAGGGGCGCCTAGCAAGTTATGAAAATGATAATGTCATCATCATTATCATTTTCAAGTTATGAAAATGATAATGTCATCATCATTATCATTTTCAAGTTATGAAAATGATAATGATGATGAGGGTTTTTCTGTCTTTTCTGTTCACCGCAGGACGAAGACCTGGCCATGTATGCGCCGTTTCGACCTATCCTTAACTTCCTAAATTCCCATCTCCATTTCACCTCTTCAAAACGTCTCAGTTATTCGTTTAATTTTTTTCTTTCGCCTTCCCGTTCCAAGTATTTCATCTTATGGTTCCCTTTCGGTGACTCGCTTTCTCGATTTTCCCATGTTATGATGATAGAACAGGCACGAGTCGAAGATGTCGTCGTGCACCCTACGAAGAAGTAGGAGAGAACCGGAACCAAAGCACCTAGCACCAGGCCAGCCCAAAGACCAAAGAGAAGGGGGGGGGGGGGGGCATGGGGGAAAATCTGCCCCGGGCCTCGTGTATCATGGGGCCTCCTTGGGGGTCTTGGGGTCTTGCCCCGGGCCTCTGGAAACCTCTTGGCGGGCCTGGCTAGCACGAACGGGACATCACCGAATGAAAATAATAGTTTACGAATGAAACAGTCGAGACCTTTTCTGTTCCGATTCAGTGGTTCATTTTTCTCTGTTTCACGTCAGCGAAACGGGGGATTCTTTCCCCCTTACTCTAACTGTGGTGATGTCCGAAGGGGAAAATTCCGAGGTCGGCGAGGAAATCGCCTAGGAGGGGGCCCAGCAGGTCCCAGTTCTCAGAGAGGAAGTCCATGAGATCCGCCCAGGTTTCGCCTCCGAAGGCGGCCAGCTGCAGCAGCAGTTGTTCCAGCAGCGCCAGGATATCTTGGAGGACGTCTTCGCTGAAGTCTTCGAATCCCTCCATGAGGTAATACAGGAGTATCAAGATCTGATCCAAGAGGTCCTGCCAGAAATCGCCCTTCATCTCCCTCAATCGAAGCACGAAGCCTGTAGAGAGACGGTACGAGCTTTTATATTTTTTTACCCGTCGCTTTTGCGCATCGTAGTGATGCGACACTTACCGTGGATTGCAGCGTGGCGAACTTCCATCCTGAAATCGTGGTGACTGCTTGCTGCCCCATCTGGAGGAACATACAGGAAAAATTCTGTCCGACCCAATCCATTTTTAGGGCTTCTTTTAAGGGTAGTTCATTAGGAAGGTAGATGAAATTTTTAACTAAGAAAATAAGATCGATCATACAGTAGTGAGGTAAGGAGCATGCGATTATTGCATCATTGGACGTTCATGAGAAAGCGTATTTTTCATGCGACAGAGAAACGGTTCCATTTATCGACCCATTTATCTAATGACTTAATGACCTCCTTGAAAATCCCCATGTGGCTCACTTCTCTCGCGTTCGTGCATCAATAAGCTTAAATATTGATATGGAAATGCTTGTTTCGGAATCGATGCCAAAAGATTTAAACCTGGACGTGCTCTTCTCCGCACGTCCCCCTATACTAACGGTGACGATGTCTGAAGGGTAAGATCCCGAGGTTCCCGAGGAGATCGCCGAGGAGGGGGCCCAGAAGGTCCCAGTAGTCGTTGAGGATGTCCATGAGATCCGCCCAGGCTACGCCTCCCAGGGCCGCCAACTGCAAGAGCAGTTGCTCCAGCTGCGCCAGGAGATCCTGGAGGAGTTCGTCGCTGGCGTCTTCTAATGCATTCACGATGTCGTCCAGGAGAATCAAGAGCTGGTCCAGGAGGTCCTGCCAGAAATCGCCCCTCACCTCGGCCAATCGACCCACGAATCCTGTAGGGACGAGGGACGAGCTATTACGTTTTCTCTCCCGTCGAATACGCGCATCGTGGCGACGAGGCACTTACGGCGAACGGCAGCCTGGCGAATTTCCGTCCTCGATTCTTGTTCACCGCTTGCTGTTACATCTGGAGGAACGAAGAAAAGAACTCGCCTCAGCTCGGTCGGTCATCGGAGTTTTTTCACTGGGAGTTCGTTTGAGGGTGGTTTTAATCGAGATAGATGTGATCGGTCGTGCATTAGCGGAGGAGGAAACGTCCATTGAGTAGTCACAATGAGCCCGGCGAATCGTGACGTTTAAAGAAATTTGCCGGTGATTCTGGCGCTTTTACGATACCAAGAAGCACTATTCCGTGCCCAAATTGAAAAATGTGAGTCCAGCCCAGGATTATAGGGAGGGACGTACCGTACGATCGTGTAATTTCCAACTCACGTCGCTTGGTGTCGAGGAATGTGGCGGAGGTGGAGACGGCCAAGGCCAACAGGAGAAAGGAGACGACTCCTCGCATCTTTCTCTTCTCGTTCTGATCGATTCTCACCGGTACGAAACTCTGTGGAAACCTCCAAAGAAACTGCTTCCCGCGTCTTTCCCGATTCCCTTTAAGAAATAGGGAAAATCCAGATCCGCAATACCGGGTGTCGACCTTCGCACACTCACCTGGAACGTTTCTCACGGATGTGCTTTATGGAAGTCGAAAGCAGCGATAAACGATACGGACAAGGTAACAATAGATGGTCGTCTTCAAGGTCATCCTCGAGTTCTCGGGATGAAGCCCAAGCTGAGGCGATCCATATTTTTCCGGACGTTGACGTGAAAATCATGCGAAGAAGTGAAAACGAAGAGCGAAGGTGGAAAGAGAAACGTAGGAGAGCGGCAGAATGTCGAGGAAAAGGGAAGTCGAAAGGTGAAGGAGTCTCCATAGACCGAGTTGAAACTGGAAAATATGGATAGGGTAAGGAAGATAATTGGGTAAGAATAGCGGCAACGAAGGCATCGGAGAGAACAGAGACGATGGAAGGTATAGGGGAGAAGGTGGGGAGAAGTGAGTCGGGGAGACTTTCTCCCTCTCACCTTCGCCATTTTCTTTTCTCCGCATTTCGATTTCCCTCTTTCCACATCGACTTCTGCCCCTTCCTGAATGAACTTTCCGACTTATCGCGCTTTTAGGCGATCCGCGAGAAACGATCGATAAAAAATAACGTTCTCAGACAGGAAGATGAGAACTCTCTTCGGCCTCCATAGGCGCTATCTACACCGTTGTTGCCATCTCGGAATGGGAAGGGCGGGGATGATAGCGTCAAACGGGCTCTTCTCTGCGATGGACGCTTTCGCCGTTCGCTGCAACTTCAATCCATTCGTTCTGTCGTGACGCAACGTCCACTCACTCGAACATATGCGCATTACGTAAACGTTCAGAAGGGGAGGAAGGTAGGAAGGGAAGTGAGGAGGAGAGGGGGTTAGCCGAGTAGACGAGATAAAGAAGCATGGCATCGGTCTGCAATAGGCGACCAGCGGAAGTTCTCCCTTTGGCTCGCGACGGCTCGGTTATCGCACGTTACGGTCTGACAGAAGACGTTTGGCTGCACGTTTGACAGACGTTCATTAAAATGAAAATTTGAATGACACCTGCAGGATGTTGGCCCGCGAACTTGCAGCATTCTGCCGGTGAAGTTCAGTTGCCGACAAATGGAGTAGGGGGTTAGCGAGGCGGAAGGGGGTGAGGAGTAGCAGTTGGTAGAGGAGGAGAGGATGAGTGGCGGGAGGGTAATATCTCTCTCGACCTCTGCACCAGAATCCACGGTAGAAGGGAACAGGTAGGACACCATTCTCACGCGTGTGACCACACTAGTACAAAGTACTTTTGCGTGTTCTCTGAAATTGAAGTTAGACATTCGAGTAAGGCATTAGAAGCATAAGGGTAAGAAAATTTTCGAAAATTTCAACAAGAAACTCCTGTGCATTAGTAACGATTGTTGAGTATGGGCATAGAAGCTTTCTGACGCTATTGAACAGCAATTTGATGGTTGAATTATTGGATAGGTCTAACGAAACGACCCAGTATTGAAACAATCTTTGACGTTCCTTCATGTTCGTTCGAGAACTTCAGATTAATTTAATTGATGAATTTGCTAGGTGAGCTGACGGTGTGACGACCTCGTACATCACATTTTTCCAGAAATAGCACCCAGCTTCTGAGGCTTGCATCTCGAAAATTTATTTCTGTCCTTATTGTCCCTTTTGAGACGATCGGCGAGAGTGAGGAAGAGAAAAGCAATCCAAACCAAATCCTTGAGTCAAATGGAATGTTTCATGAGGTTTTTTTTTTCAACGGTTTTTCAATGGTTGGTTACTTCCGGATGCCGAATGCGGCCCCCTGCTCAAAAAGTTTGAGTGCCATAGGCTTCGGAGACACTATTCATAATCCACGTGCGTGCAATAGGGCATGATAATATGATGAAGGGGATTGGAGTGGCTGCGCACCGTCGAGACGCATGTCAACCTCCGTCTTCCATCGTGTGGAAGGGACCCCTCGTAAACCCTTAGGGCGATGCATTGGCTGTTGAGAGATTCAAACGTAAGCGCCTGAGAGTGCACGGCCCGGCATGGCCTCTTCGCCCTTTCACCTTCCCTCCGGCCGGTGCGAGTAGCTCGTGCGTCTCGAAGGGATCCCAACGTCATCGCTTCCTTCATTTTTCGAGTCCAGTTTCTATTGTGTTTGTACATGGTTTCGTATATTGGTGGTGCAATACGTATCGCCGGTGGACTAAGCTTCCAAGTCTCAAGGCCTATGATATTCCCACGATAGGTTCATCTGACGTTATAGCATTTGTAGCCTACTGCCTTGAATTAATAGATGCTTCCGTGCCTTCTCTCGATCTTCATCACCTCCCTTATTAAAATATCCACCTTTGAACAGTCACCTGAATAAAATTGTATTCCCTTAGGAGTATAAAAAAAAAGGATGAATAAATTTTTTAAAAGCAGATATGAGTACACGCATCATTACACAGAGCTGCCGTAGCTGAGGGATTTCGGAGATGACAGTCAAGGGCAGTACGTGGTATAGGGATCGAAACTTGTGCTCTTTCTGTTGGCGACCTACACATCTGTTCTGACGAGGGAAGCTCCATTGTCTTCGGATTGAATTCTTATAACCCCCCCTTCCCTCCCGCCCCGGGGCAGCGTAGAATGGATATGGTACGGAGAACGGGACCGAAATGCATCACATGCAGGACACATATACACAGAATCATATAGATGCATTTTTTCGCGCCCCAAATTTTGTCTGATTCCCTGAATATTCTGTGTGGGCTCCAGTGCCCCTATAGAGAATCTTCCTGTATGGACTCTGCTCCTCCGCTTCTCACAGCTCTATCTGAACGAAACGAACGAAACTCTCAACTTATCGTGCATTTTCGTAGATGTCATTTTTTACTCGTTTCCGTTCTTGGTATGTTTCTTCATTTTTAACATATTTCAAGATCATCGATTCCGGCATTTATTTTTCTTCAGTGTTTGTTTAGTTGACCCTTTCACTGGGATTGGTGTCTCCTGATGCCCAGGAGAAGTCAATGTCCCCGACAGCGACGCGGAGGTTTCAGATTTAAATTTCCGTTTGCCAGCGAAAGGGTTAATTAGATATGAGGTGATTCGGCAATACGTAATAGACGTACACGGAGGTGGTCAATTAATTCCGTAAACCTTCGTTCAAATTTCCGGCTAGATATTGAAGATATTTGGCTGTTCTCTCCCAGCTGACATTTCTGACAATCTCCTAACCTTAAATTTCTGGTAGCTGAATTCGCATGAATGCTCGGAAGCGTGCATGGGCGCTGACAGATTTGGAATGAAACTCTATAATCCATGCCGGGAACTGCCGAGTCGGTTCGTCGAGGAAAGTTCTAGGTTGGGTCCTGCCCCTTCGTTGCCCCCTAACTACACCAATTCGTGGAATTACTCATTCCGGACGATAAGGGTCTCACGATTAGATCTCAGTTGGGAGCTATTATTGCTCTCTCTCGCGAATCCTCTCCGCAGTTCCAAGCTTCCTAACACTTGAAGCAGGCAATCTGGACCCCTGAAAACTCTGTCGTTCAATCTTCATGCAGTCTGCCCGAAAAAGTGCTTGACATGAGGCTACATTGATTCCTTTCCGAAATGATCGAGCTCGACGCGTAACTTAAGCGAGCTCGATACGAGATGGCGTGACGATTCAACTTAGAAATAGAGCGAGACCGTCAGCGTGTTCGTGGCAGGCCTTCGTAGCCTCGCCGTCCGTCGTGGCAGACCCTTGCACCCTCGACCTCCAACGAGGAATTCTCATATTTCACGAACCTTCTCTTCTATCTTTCTCCAGCTCTTCGTCGTTTAGATCAACCATCTGAATTTTATGCAATTATATTAATTTGCATCTGGAAACCCTGAATAGCTTTTTGGTCACACTGTACGAATAACTCATGACTCGCTCATTCGAACTCATGGTTTGAGACGTGCTAGATGAAACTCACCTACCTACCCCCGACTTGCAGCCCCCATTCGTGGATCATTTTTGGGTAGACATCGGTCCGCGTTCTTATCGGAACTGCACGGGAGATAAAATGGGACCTATTCGTAAGTTAGAGGATGGGAAAGAGCAGGTGTGCGAGATCCTCTTTGCGCAACGCCGTTCTCCGGTTGGGGCTAGTCCATCGAAGATGCATGGGATCCTGGTTTCCGTCGTTCTCGTCTGCCTGCCTGCAGCTCTTTCCTCCGCCACCCCTCTCTACTTCTCCCTCAACAACCTCAGGAAATGTAAGGGGAACTCATCGTAACTTTTAAAGGGCAGATATGACTAAGGAAAATGATCCACTACCGCATTATTAGTATTGCTATCATGGCAGGTCTTGCTTTAGTATTACGAGATAGAGATAGATAGTTAGACGCCACTATAGATTGACAATCGAAGATACTGTTATAATTTTGATGCATTTCAGCCATGCTTGATGATTAGATGTTGCTATATAAGTGGATTATATCCACTTTATATAAGGAGTAATCAGGCGTATTGCGTCAGCAAGGATTAATTATAAAACGTCGTTAAATAAGCAAATATATAATTCTAATCTGGTATCATCGTTTTGTCATTCGGAACAAAATGATGGCGAGGACGTTATGAGTGGAATGGTGTCATCGAATGGGGGGCTTGTAATTGGCGACGGTCCGTTTTATTAAAGACCGTCTTTACGAGAATGGATTGGCGAAGATGGAGAAGCACGCTTTCCTGGAACGAACGTTCCGTCCGTTTCAATCGGATCCCCCCAGGTTCCCCTACTACGTGGAACTTGCTCTGGAACGGAACACCGTCGACTTCTTCCTCAAACAGGTTCGTCTCTTTGATTCACCCATTCTCTTCTTCCCCGACTGAGTTAGTCATGAGCCTTAAATCTTGGCGAGCAAATGTGTCTTCCATTTATGGCTGGAACTTTTCATCATTTTCTTTACTGTATGAATCGTGTAGCCGAAAGAGAAGAGAACACAAAGTGAAAATGAAAGGCAGAGCAGAGTGAGCATCTCTTAAGATCAAGAGCAACGAAGTAAAACTTAAAGGCATAAAAAATCTCAAAGGAAAAGTTTATCTGCAAGTACATAATTTCCATCGTGGATGGAAAGAGTTTCCCTTACAAAATGACCACCCCCTATCCAGCTGGTCAAGCAACCAAGTGGATGGGGGTGGATTTGAAACCAGGTGGACGTCCCCCCCCCCCCCCATCGGTGGAAATCCATCTATCCATTCGCGCGCATGTATTTCGAGCCAGGTGGATTTTCCCTCCCGGGTTGACTTTCCCCCGGGTGGACATCGCTCCAACAGGTGGAAATACCACCTGGGGGGACATCGACCTGGTTCCCAATCCACATGGGAGGTGGACTTTTTTAAGGGTTCCTAAACATGGCTACAGCACTTGAGTTGTTATTTCCAATCGCAAAGAAGGAACAAATGCGAATACCAGGAGAGAATTCCCGTCGCCTGGAATGAAATTTCATTTTAGTCACTGACTCTAATGTTCAATAATTCGTGATCTAGTGTAACTTGGAACTCCTGCCATCGTCGCGATGAGGAAAAAGTGAGGTCCGAGTAAGAATCCGTTCTCGGGAACGCTTGATCGTGGGATCTCGAGTTCTGCACTTCCAAAGATAACACCAGGAGATCCACCTTCGGATCCGACCCGCAGTTTTCTCCAACAGTTCACCCGTCTGCTTTCCGGTAGACCTATGAGGTCCTCTGCCTCGAAATCGAGCACGTGGGCCGTCGCTGCTCCATAGCGTGAGAGACAGGGGTGGAATGCCCCTGGTGGCCAGATGCGCACCGACGGATGATCCTAGGGCTTGCGAAGCATCGAACCATCACCTTTCCCGGACACGTGGAAACGGGATAAAAGAGTCGATGAGGGTCGGTCAACTAATACGTTGCATTTTCTAAGAGACAAAGAAAAAAGCGGGTGAAGTCTTGTACCAGAGAAAGGGTCTACTATCGGTCGTGCGACGTAGCACCCCTGAAGCTCATCTCAGCGAACCAGGAACCCAATGACTTCACCCTTAACCAGTAACCCCTGACTCGATTCTTCTTCACCACGTCATTCATGCTCTCCCCATTAAGAAAGTGGCAGCTCCTGACTAGTTACTTGGAAAGCATTTTGACATTCGAAATTTGCTTGCAACTCTCCCCGCTGATCGAAATCCGAATTTTTATCGACACGTTAACGATACGCGATGAATTGCGTGCGAATGACCAGGGGAAGAAAGGACTGGAGATGAAGTTGGAGATACTGGAGAAGGTGGGGGAGGAAGTGGATTTGGAAATGAAGAAGCTGATGGGGGTCTTCGCCTTCATTCAGGCATCTCAGGACCACCTCCACCTCAAGGTCAGGCTTTTCCTCTCCGCCCTTCAAGGCCTTCTTGCTGCCATCGGGATCGAGAATGACGGCCGAGGTCAGTACGAACTATGTTTATCTTTATCAGATCCCTATTCGTGCAACGGTCGGGTAACCAGCAACCAACTTATCACGAGACCTACTTCTCTTTTAACTGACAGTGGAAAAGAAGTGCGATTTCGCTCTGACTCAAGTAGAGTTTTATCAAAGGAGGATGAGGGTTTCTACCTTCCAGGTGGTTGCCAGAGTGCTTATTGGTAATTATAAAAAATACCAGAAATCACTACACGCGATTCCGGTTCACTCCTTTCGAGGAAGTGCAGGGCGATCGCGTTAGTGCGTAAGAGCTTTCACCTACCCATAATGTCCACAGAATGCCACTTTAGAAATGGTATGGAGGAATTCTTCAGAATTTATAGAGAATAGTCTAAATAGCTATATATATGATTCTAAAGAACCCTCTATAGAAAGAAGAGCTACATAAAACACTTATCGCTTATAGAAAATTGTTTCATCATGTAGAATCCGTATAGAGAATTCTTTAAAATTACGCATAATTTAATTAATGGTTTTCTCAATATAGAGCGTGCAGAAATTCTAAAAAAAATGCCTCAAGAGAATTTCTATGGAGGCATCCCATAATACAATTTCAACCGGGTCTATACCCGTTATACAACAGGCGATGGGGAACAAAATTTTCACGGAGGATTTAAAGCCCCCTGCATGACGTCAAAATTTCGAGTGCAAAGTAAACACGAAAAAATCTTTAACGTGATCATCGAGGGAGAGGGATCGAAAGTGTCGTTCTGAATGGAGCAGGGCGTTGGAAGGGAAAATTCAGGTTTTCCATCTCGTCTCTTACCTGCATGACTGGGACTGTAAATCCTCTATTAATGAATGGGGGGTGGTGTATAGGGAAATCCCTGATGGAGTTGAAGAGGGTGCTAACATGGGATGGGATGGAGCAGGAACTTCTAAGAGCCATGACGGACGAGGAGATAATGAACTTCCTCACCGAGCTCTGCAAACCCTTCGCCCCTGGATTTCCCGAGTTCTGGCCCAACCTCAAGGCTTCCACCCCGGAACGTATGTCGCATTCATTTACGTTTCGATACCGTGCATTTAACTGCCTGAAATGAAAAAATGAGACTTTGGGCACCCAAATGCATATTTTTTGTTTACACTGCATCCTTTGGACCCGAGTTGTCACTATACCTCATGAGAGTAGACGGTTAAGGACGAATGACATCTAGAATCTCTCGTCTTCCATGGCTTTCGTAACCATTGTCGGGAACGATCGAGATAGACCCTCCCAAAAAGTGCGGATTCACTCTAGCTCCTTCCACTCGGCCACATTAACTACTGTACTGTACCCCGCGGCATATTGTTGGATATCGCTAACCGGCGAGTCGAAAGAATACACCCCGTATTCCATCGGGGCGATCGTGAGTACATGGTGGGCCATAAATATTCACACCAAATCGAAGCCTTGTATTTCCTGTGCTAATCACTTCTCATGGAATCAATTGAATCTCAACAAGACACAAGGGCTTAAAGTAATTATTCACAAAATATTTTTTATATATCCCCTGTTCTTCTTGACGGTAATATGGAATCTTTGAGTCTGCCAGTCGATCGCATTGGATGGAGATGGTTTCACTCCTCTTTTGGTTCAGGTCGATGAATTTCGTTTATGGACATTTGCTTCCAGCAAGCTTCGCATACAGTAATCCATTTGGTTACGGTCAGAGTGGCATGGGGGTCATTTTTATTCTTTGATCCAATCTGCCTCATGGTCAGCCAATTTTTTGAACCTCAAGCCATTTTTAGGAGAGGGATTCATGTTAAAACAGCCGAGGTTGACCACCAGAGAGACACTCACATAGAGGTACAATACATTTTTTTATTTACTGTTTTTAGGCATACAGAAATAGAAAAGTCACAAGTGGTATGAATATTTATGGCCCACCCTGTAGAGCTCGAGATGAACAAATGTGAGTTTTCAGCGGCGGAGAAGAAATTGGCGGTGTTCGCCCGCGAGTATTTAATCAAAGGATTTGAAAACCGTGCAGGAACGTAACGTAGGGTAAACAGTCGTGTTGTAAGTACATATGGTTTGCAGAAAGCAGGGTCTCGTCTACGAGGCCGACTGTAGAGCGAAGGTGGGGCTTTTCAACTCCGAACAGGATCGCGCCGACACCGACAGCGAATCACGAACAACTCTTTCATCTCGACCGTGCACCAACTCGTATCCGAACGAAGCAGAAAACAATGTCAATATCTCTTCCTTACCTGACTTTCTTTGAGATTGAGAAGTATGAAGAAAACGGGAGTTTATAGAGGGCATGCAGCAGAAAGCAGGATTTTCAGAGATCCTGTGAAAAGAGCCCGCTTAAACCAGCACCATGCTTCCCGATAGTTTTCTGAGAGATCGGGCAGGGCCGCTACGGTCAGAATCACTCATTTTTAAGCACGCTTTTCCTGCAAGTTACAGTTGCAGTACAGTTAGAGTTGAAACTCTACAAACGAAGCAAACATGTTACTTCTGCGAAGTCTCTCCTGTTTCTCTTTCTTCTCATCCAGTTCCAAACATAGGAAAGAAGTAGCATGAAGAAGAAGAAAAGGTCAAATTTGGTGGTCATTTTGTGAAACACTTAATGATACAATGATCATAATAACATGATTTTCTGCAACATTGGCACTCCATAAGAAAAAAGAGCCAAAAGTCTCGACCGAGCTTGCGACTATGAACTTGATTTCTCGACTTCTATGGATGACTGAATCGTGATTTCATGAATGCTTGCACAGAGAGACGACGAGTGATAGAAAGCCTTGCGAATCGCAGGGGATTCGACGAAGTCTGGGGCGCCATCGCTGACATCTACGGGGAGTCTGTCAAATGGATCAAGGACCAATTCCCCGCCTTCGGGGACTGGCTCCACGATATGTACCAGCAGTGCCTCGAGGATCTGGACGGACACCTGAAGGCGCTTCAGGAAGTCCTCAAGGAGCTCATCCAGCACTTCGAGAACCTTGCGGCTGACGTCCTCTACGAGGCCGTGGAGTTCTTGTCTCCCTTCCTCGAGTCATTCGGCGAACTCCGCGATACCTTCGAAGATCTCGTGCAGGATCTCTTGCCTCGCCTTGCCTTCCATGGACGCATCGGGATTTGAACCGAATGAGGAATAAAGCGCGTCGTCGAAACATCATCCCAACATTCCTATTATTGTCTCGCGGGAAGGAAGGGTGATAAAACTGGTGCATGAAAACGATGCACCGTCCTCAATTTTCGCATTTGGATATACTATTTTCAAGGAATATGCGACACCTATGCATTCTGGCGTTTGTCTGACGCATTGTAGTGTCCAAGGAAAGTCGTGACCCTCACGAAAATTCATTCACTGTGGCTACTACAAAAGAGGGTATAAAGAAGGTGTGTATCCTCAGTCGAAGAAACTGACCCGAGTTCAGGCGCTGCTCCATCGAGTGCCTAGCTTAGGGTGTCAAATTCGATTTGGTTGGGGACCGGATAAACCCTTCAGGGGAGATTGGGGGCCACACTAACAAATTTGACACCAATTTTTTTTAAGTTTTTATCCCGAACAGGTTGAAATTTGCTGCACTAGCTCTTGTCAATCTGAATTCTGAATGGACCTGAGTACAATGAGGAAACCACTGGGTGAACCTTCCTAATGTATCTAAATGTATCTACTGGCAAGGGTCAGGGGAACCAACTGCCTTCCCCCTTTTCCGGGTGTAGAAGCAAAGGGAACTTCTTGCGCCCCCCCCCCCCTCCCCCCCGCCTTTTTCTAGCTAGGTACATATCTCTTATTAATGGAACTACAGGGTATATCAATTCCTATATTAAAGCATTCCTATATTTAGATTAACTTTCCAACATTGATTTGATCCAGCTCGGAACGATACCATGTGGTAAGCATAGCAATTATCCTATAACTATCATCTATTAGAAGTTTTCCTGTGAAAATGAAGGACTGAAACAGTGTAATCTTCAGATAATACATAAAAAAATTATGAAAATTCTTACTGACCATTGTTGGTCATTCACTTCTGAAGATGAGTGGCACCATGAACCACAGAACCTGTTATGCTCGCAGGGAATCGATGCTCATTCTATCCTAATGGCATTTTCTAGTTTTTGTAGGTTCTGAGATCTTGGGGCATAAATATTTTTCTTAAACCCCACGGGAAATAGTGTGACGGTGTCAGACTGGGACTGCGGACTGGCAATTCAACCGCCTCTAGTCTCCCAATCCAACTAACGCTGTACTCTCCAGCCGTTTCCCATTTTTCTGTGGGCGTATCTCAAGGAAAGAGTTCATATATTGTGACCTAAGAACTTCCAGGAACTGTCTTTTGTTTGACTGGTTAAGGATATGCCGCTGATTTATGGACAGGGGTCACTCCGAAAGCATTCAAACTTTTTACCTACATGTGATGGCGAATGAGTTCAAACCCACTCATTTGATGAATACTCTTCTAGGTTACTTGTGCAACTTTTGTACTCTTTTGTTGACATTTATCGAAACCGAGCACTTCGAGTGGAGGGGATAGGAAGATCCTATGAATAAATATTCTGCCCACGACGATCGACGGAAGAATGACTGAAGATGAACTCCGATCTGGGCGCCTAATGGTAGCAGTGACTCTACCGTAAATTGATATAGTGGTCTCGCTGTTGAGGATATTTCATTGGCGTCTTCATTAATGAGAAAGCATTTTATTATCAGCGACTGCAACAAAACAATGTTTGCTTGAGTCATTGCTGTCTGAGGGTGCTCAGATGGGAGGTCATTTTCAGTTATTTTTCCCGCACTTGGAGAGGCGGTACCGTTTGAACACTATTGCACCTGAAGGGCTTGGTTCCCAATACCCTGGGCTTTTCATCTCGGCAAGCATCAACTGAGGAAGCTCTCTTACAGTTCTAGAAAATGATAGCACGAAGGTGAGGGCGGATCAGGTCAGCCACGGGAAGAATCGCTCTTCATCATATCGTCCTATCTGCTCCCATTCAATGCATTTCATAGTCATTAAATGTCAAAGGAACAGGATGAAACTTTCACAATGAAGAAGTTTGCTCAACCAATAAAAGGACTTGGACCAATTTGCCTTCATTTGTAGGAGTGAAGTCTAGAAAATGACATACGCTCAGCTCGTACACTTGTGCCATCCCAACATTGCATTTTTGGTTGTACTATGCATTTATTTGGCAAGTTATTGCGGCCCTTCAGTAATTTTTATTATTATCGCGAAGCAATTTGCGCTTTAATTCAATTACTGCTGAGAAACGACTGAAGTTCATTTAACTGCTCTTGCTATTTATCACGTTAACGCGTCAGGGAAAGAAATGCCCTCACTGCTATTGACGCACAAACCCGTTTTGAATGTTCCAGCTCGTTACTACTGCCCTAGCGTAAGGTAAGCACCCCGGTTTCTAGTCGGTCTCCAGTTGTTGCCCGGTGAGGCTTAAATCCAGCATAATTAGTTAATCTGGCCGTTTTCAAGCATTCTATCAACATCTTCCCGTATGAGGACTTATTACTAGTGTTTCCCAGTGAGCGCACAGGGTGTCCACTTCCTATGGGAGTCGTATCAACGTGGCCAAAAACTGGGGTGTTTACCCTATACGTGATCGATATGAGACTTGAGATGAATTCAACTGCCATCCATTAGAAATTTCGTGTTACTTAGTACTGCTTGCAGAAAAACTGCACAGGGCAGTGGCGTAGGCAGGAAATCGGCAGGGGGGGGGGGGGGGGGTTGAGGCCAGGAAGACACCCCAACCCTACGCCTAGCTCCACTACCCGGAATTTACCTTTTCAAAGAAATCATGGTCTGGCATCTTGGGTGTGTGGACGGACCTCAGACTTTCCTTGAAGGGACATAGCTAAAATTGGAATTCCCAAGGAAGGTTGAAATATGCGTCAGTGTCACTGACCGAGAAACCCAAGGGGGGGTTCTAACCCCCTAAACCCCCCCCCCCCCCCTTCCCTACGCCACTGGCACAGGGGCTCTAACCGCCTGTAAAAAGCTCAGCAGTGATCACAGAGGAGACAGAAAGCCTATGCAAGTGAATGATGAGAGTAACACTGGTTGTTACTTCCGCCTTGGTGCCATACATCCATGGGCCGTCCTGAATTGGCATGACCAAATCTTTCTACAGGGATCTTAGTTCAAACTCGTACCGCTCTAGTATTGCCTTGGACGACCCTTTGGACATTGGACGATGCGACCCAGGCATTAACACTGACGCATGTTAAAGGGGTACGACTGGAAGTGAAATCACTATCTCTTCCGTTCTAGATGGTAGGTTGCTATAAATGCTGCGTTCCATGGCCCTCCCATGCAGTACCTCACCCTTTCCTCGGTGACCTCGTGTCCCAATGATGGTTGCATAGCTTCTTGACCGAAAGTATCTTATGGGTCGATGTTGGCGTAACTTCAACCCTAACGAAAGTTCTATGAATAATCTGAAACTCAACAGCAAAGCCATTAACGTGCATAAAAATTGCGATGTTAATTCCTACGTCTAAGCCTTTATAGGTGGAGCTCCATTTAGGATATATGGTAGCTGCATTCCGCTCTACGTGATTTCTGGCCTAAGAGTTTCTTGCCAACGTGCCTCTCCCCCTTCACATTGAGGTTCATGTGATTCACAAATCTGGAAAACTGAGGCCTACTGGAAATTGTTTGGTGCACATCTATGCACCGTCAAGTATATCCAGCCCTAGGCCTAAGCAAAAGTGATTTGCAATTTAACTTGCACCGTCAATAATATTGTGCATGGTGTCTGTGGTGGATGGAAGGAGATGAGAGAATACATTCTGTGAAGGAAATGCTATTAATCCAATAGAGCCCATGTTAACCCTTTGGCAGGTGCACCCAGAAATTTCAGCCCTGAGATTACCCTGCCTGCCCGGCTGTGCCCAAATATATTACCTTTTAAGGTTTTCATGTTTGTAGGTACAGCATGGTATTTCAGTGCTATATGTATATATGCAACATTTTTATTATTGAGAAAAAACTTGCCCTGAGCATGCATACCAGCTCAAAAAAACCCACCTGTCAAAGGCTTAAAGGTGGTACAAAATCATTTCCAAATCACAGTGCATTGACTTTGCCACATATCCAGTACCTCATGCTGTAGGCCTAGGTGATAGTGCAAGGGGGTGAGGGGAGTCAGTCATGTACCGGGCCTTCAAATTTCTGGACTTTCTAGATGCCAAGTGTTTATTAGTATCTCATTCTTCCTCTAGTGCTTTAATCTTTTTCTCCTACCTTTGATTGCTTTGGTGCAGGCCTATGTTTCAAGGTCACTGACTTAATATGATAAACATGAGGAATGCTAAAAAGAGGAGTATGCTCAGGGCCACATAGCCCAATGCACATGAGGTGAGCTTGTGTTGGGAGGTGCTTATTCTGGCATCGGGCGAGCTTCCTACTGTACTAAGTCAATTTGAGAAAGGCTTGAGACCTGAGAATCCTAGACATGGATTCAATTTTGATTACCAATAGTGGTTTTGGGTTGTCTTTCCCTCCATTTATAAGGACTTCATGCTTTTCTAGGGTCTTTAAGTACTAGTTATGAATGCTCCAGGCTTGACTTATTGCTCTACCCCGTTGAGATCTGAATGGCTGAATTTTTGCAGCCCAGCCTGACATAACACTCACCAAGTATTGAGATATGCTGGAAGGAAAGAAAAGGGGCATCTGAAATCAAGTCATGTCCTTTCTGTAGCAGGTTTCTTGGTGTGAGAGCTGATGTTATTCTTGTCATCTCTTGCAAGAAAGGTTTGAGTAGGATTTGTACTAAGAGTTGGCATGTGAATTCCTGGGATTATTGAATGTATTTGAATCGGCTCACTTAAGGTCATATATGTATTAAATACCTTATTTTTTGGCTATGTATCCATACAAGTGCTTGGGGTATTCAATTCAACAAATAAAATTAGAATGTAGGCATATGCATGTGAGGAAGTGTGAAGGCCAACATTGCAAGTCCTCAAATGTCATGTTCACTGTATTTTTTCAGGATTTTCTTTCAGGTGTGTAGAGACCTTAGTTGCCCATGGCTCAGTTTGTAGAGGTTACAGTCAGTGAGCAGACATTCCTTGGTGCCCAAGTGGAAGACAAAGTTTTGCTAATTTTGAGGAGAGAGTTAAGGACATTGAAGGATCTCTATGAAAAGTGGGAGCTAATTTATGCTCGCCTTTCCAAACTAGAGAAGTTGCTGCAGAACTTATGGGAGCAGCGGGAACTCTCCATCAAGTAATGCCTCCAGATGAATCCTTTATGTGTAATGAAATTGACTCTTATTTTTGAGGTGTATGGCTTTCTTTTAGGTTCACTAATGTGAATCCCACCATCTTGCAAGCCTTTCCAGATCTGAGTGATGCCCTGCTCTTTCGTATCCAATTGAACATTGAGGAGGACCTGAACTCAATGAAGGAAATATTGTAAGAAAATGTTTCCTCTCAATTAAGAGCTTGAATTTAGCATCAAGGGATTATTATCTTGGATGATGAGTATTTTTATGCAAGAAAATGAAATTTTATCATTTGAGCATGTTCCATGGCATCTGTTCAACAATATCTTTCAACTAATTTCAAGAAGCAGTATATATATGCTAGCATGTTCCTTTACTGTCAGTAACCACATCAAGTTAGTATCACTGATTAAGGTTCCAGTCATTCCCTCTGCTGATTGTTGGTGGACAGTTTTCAGGTTTGTTGAGTGCCTGCCAATAATGTCAAAGCTGCATTTGCAGGATGAATCTGAGTATCACCCTGAATTAAACTTGTGAACTTGCAAAATACTTCTTGAGTGAACAATATCAGCGTGTCAAGACTTGTCAGGTTTACTTTCTATCACTTACTTGAAATCATAAGAAAAATATAACCAAAAATATGGTTTAAAGATAACCACACTCTGGTTTAATATAGTCTCTCCTGGCTGTTGGTTTGCTTCTGAAATAATTAAATGGTGGTTGGTTGTAGATAGCCCCACCTTCCTAGGAGAAAATTGAAAGTGGCTTAGTCTTCACAGAGCATGGGTAAATCTTCAACAGTTAGCTTATTGAAGATGGAGTGAAATGCCACACAACCTGCCCAATGCATTGATGAAGAAAGGGAAAAAGTACCACTGGAATATCAGGATCCACCCACCCTTGACCTGCTATTACCTGTATTTCACCCTGAACATGCATTTGAAGTGAAGTGAGGGTATTTGACATCATCTCCATCAAAAGCTCACTAATGCTTGTGATGACAGACCAGGAAATTGAAAACCATTTGGGAGATTGGGATCTATTTCTGCTATATGAATCTGTAACTCATTTTTTCTATTTACAAGGTTTCAACTTTGTAGCTTTTATAGTTGAGCCTTCAGAATTTTTTATTTTGGGTAGCAAACTTTGTATCCATCCTGTATATGCCATTTCATGCTAATCTACACTTCTCTGATCAATTCAATCAATGTATATTACCTGCCATAATATATGGACTGAAGGCTTAATCATTGCCAATGAAGACAAAGGAGATGGTGAAGACAACACAAAGGAGCATGGAGAGATATTTGTTTAGAATTATCAGAGGGCAAAAGTTGATTTATTGGGTCAGAGAGCAGATGTGAGTCCAGGATATGATGTTTGCCATCAAGAAAAAGTCCATTTGGACCAGACATGTAGCAATAATGGGAGGTGACTGGTGGACAAAATTATTTGTTTTATGATCACCAAGAGCAGGAACATGCCATAGAGAAGACCAGTCACAAATAAAGAAAAGATGGAATGTTGAAATAATATGCTAAAGGATTCAAATAAATTATTCCTCTCATGAAGTGGATTTTGAAAAAAAAAAGTGCATTATTGCTCTTGGAGAGAAGAATGTTATACTGTCCAAAAATCCAACCCTTAGTTATCACTCATAAGACATTCATCTGCATGATTATCCTATGGTGAAATGCTCTCTCATACAGGAAGGAATTTGGAGAGATGGAGGTGACAGTGAGAGATGCGGCTGCAAACATTGACCAAGTTCATAATTTCCTAGATCCCAAGAAGGGCTTGGCTTATGCAAGGCCTACCCCTCTTCGCCCATCCATCTATCAGATGCTGGAGTGGGGTCAAGAACTTGCTGAAATCTTTCAAATTGAGTGAGTTTACAAGGAATAACAATATTATCAGAAATTATTGAAAATAGATTAGACATTGAGAATGGACAAGAGCTCCTGCTGGTAGTGGAGTGGAGAACACACAAGCACAAAGGAATGGAAGTGGAGTTCAAGGTGGTCTTGAGCAGGGGGGACGGTGCTCAAGTGTTTCCTCTTCTCCACTACCAGCAAGAACTCTTGTCCATTCTCAATTCTAACTTATCAATAATTGCTGATAATATTGCTTTGCCTCAATAAATTCAGATGAAATTTGATGCATCAGTTGGAAACATTCATATATGCAAAGGAAAAGTATTGTGAAAATAGCTCTATTGTGAGGGAAGATCTTAGGGTTGAAAGTCATTGGTCTTTTTTTTTTTCCATACCCTATGTATTCTATCATAACTCTTACCCTATGGAAAAAACACCTTGATTCCATTTAAAAAAAATAACAGTAAAGGTTAATTTGACTATGCTAATCTATGTACTAATTTAATCTGATGAACTCCAGGCAATTTAATTGGTTGAATATAAAATGAATAAAACTTTATTTAGTACCTTGTTTGCTGCCTAAATTTGGCCTTGGCCCATGAAATAGAAGCAGTGATGAAATTATTTTCATTAACAAGACTTCTTTTCATTCTTTTAACCATGAATGTAGCTAAACAATTTATTTATATTTATTTATTTTTCCTCACAGAGAATAGTGGCAAAAACAAAAGTTGCATTTTACAAGCCATTATTCCATTGAATTCCAGTTGCAAAATGGGATGTTGGGTGTTGGTTAAAACAGGGTTAATTTAGATTGATTAACAGGAATAATATGTTAAGTAATTAATTGAATGGCAGCCTAATTCTTTTTTATTGTTTCCTCAACACTGAAGGTGTTCTTTCCTTCATTTTCATATTCCCTTTGCTTGGAAAGATTGTTGGAAATTTGTAACTCTTTCAGAATTCTGACCTTGGAGGTATCGCTTGATGAGGCTTACAGGAATATGAGGACTTTCTCCTTCTCTGCTTGGAACACAGAGACCAGGAAGAAAATAAAACGTGAGTCACAGTAGCTACCTTTTCACTTTCTTCCATAAGTCTTGTGTGTCTTGGGCATCCTTCCAGATGGCCAGGAGACCAGATTTTGATGAGCTACCAGTCCTGCCATGGCATCATGGGATTGATGTGTAATTCACCTTAAGCAAAATGCCACCATTTGTTAAGAGGCTCTGGCACCCACTCTGCTTGGCTGTCCCTCCCAAAGAAGAAATGTCATTATTGCACATGAAATTTTTTTTAGCTTAGGAAGTACAACTAAGCAAAGTGTTGTTCAAAACTGAACAATATGCAGCATGCAGAAGGTAAGCATAACATTCTAAGAAGTATATAGGGTAAAACGCCTAATGATGGTCCTGTTAAGGGCATGTACTCAGTGATGGGCCACAGTGCAGGAAAATTCCAAAAACTAGGCATTTGTAGCATGAACACCTGAAGTGCATATGTGCTTGCATTCTGCTAACCTGTCACAACAGGTGTAGGCATGCTATGTAAGCTTAGCTGTTGGAAGTTTTATGTGTTGTGGCCTATCACTTGGTATTTTACCCTATTACTCCATAGAGAAAATATTTTGTAAACAATTGCCATTCATAGGTCCTTTAATTTTGGTTTAGGCTGATTTAAAAAAAAACTTGAGTACATGCATTTCTCTGCAGACTTGTCGAAAGGAAAGTTCCTAATCTTTACAGATCCAAAAGATTGGACCAAATTGACCCCCCTTTAGTGTGAGGCCTTTCCACATTTGTAACCTATTGTAATTCCTATGCTAATAGTCCAAGGTTTCTTCATTTATTTTGAGAATTCAGTGCTGTGGAAAGTCCTATGAATCTGTCTTGGTAATGTTCCAGAGTAGTAACTGGTTTAACTTAAATTGGCAGAACAGCTACACTTAGATGTTTGAAAGGACCCTTTTTGGTTGAAAGGTCTGCAAACATTACAGGGAAAACTCTTTGCAGTACACAAACATTATTCTTCCTGGCTTTTGCCCACATCTCATTGTAGAAAGACAATGTTCTTATGACAACATTTATGTAAGTTACATATGTATCTGTTCCAGGTATTTTTGGACTGCTACAGCTCTTTTTGGATGAACCAGGAGACTAATGGATTCTAATGGACACATGATTCACTGACAATGATGCCTCAGCATGTGGGTTTTCATGGTAAGTTTGGCAGTTTTTGATGGTGATTGATTATACTTGTGATCATTGAATAGAGAGCCATAATGGAATAGTCTTGTGGAGTTTCATTCTCTGCTGCTTTCTCTTCCCAATTCAGAATTTCATGGTGAAGTTTATTGTTGAGGATTTATAAAATATATATTTTGCAGGAAAAAAAATCAGTCAGAACTTTGGATTATGGGATTTGCTTTGTTTTCCTCATGCAGGTTCTCAGTGACTGACCTACTGGGATACCTGCTGAGTCTCCACTAGAGGTCTGCACAGGCATCAGGCCTCAGTCAAAAGCTTGACCAGACCAGTGAAGAAGCAACTGAGTATGAAGTATGCCGTTACTGTTTAATGTATGCTTCACTTTTCCAGTGGCATCAGAAACCTTCAGTTTGTGTGTGTGAGAATGGGCTCTAATGGATCTGCTCTCTATAAGATTGGTTTTAACCCTCTCATTGCTGAGGATTTAACCCTTTGAGGAGTATGCCTGTATATATGGACTGAAGTCCTCCAGCCCTTTATATATTCCCTATGGGGGATCTTGGAGGCATTAAAAAAAACCCACTCCTCAAAGGGTTAAATGGCCAGCAACCTCTCCTTGCCTGGCATGGTGGTGGAGGTTCATCACACTGAACACGCCATATGGCATAAACTGCAGTGAGAGGGTTAATGGTTCAATGAATATTCATGGAAAAGTGTGGAGATGGAATAAACATTTACTATACCACATGTGCTGGAGTAGGTAAGATGACTTGCATCATGCATCTTAGGGAGATGCTGACATTCTGTCATTTGGTGTTTCCACATTTAATGAACCCTAGCTGAACCCTGGAGTAAACATCTCTGTCATTTGATGAGTTTTATAGTTATCTGACTTTCCCATAGGGAAATGGCAGATATTGCTGTAGGTTTGTCACCTTTTTTTTTGTTCTTTTCATTACATCTGACAGCAGTTGCCATAGCAACTGGAGAACTTGACTAAATACACATATGCAGCCTTTAGCCTGGGTTGAGGTGTTAGTCACTGACTAAAACTCCCAGTTCCCTTCCAGCACTTGCAGTTGGTAGATTTATAGTTGACTGGGAGAAAGTGGTTGTCAATGCAACATAGACAGGGTTGCTGATCAAACTATTGTAATGCCACATCTGACATTACTTTCCCATCAGCATGTGATGCAGACATCTGAACCAGAGGACTTTCTCAAATTTTCTGGGGCTGTTCATGTAGGCCTGTGGCATACAAGTGAGTTTTATTTGTTAAATTTAAGTTGATTGGTTGTGATGCATTAGAGGGAGATAATCTTGATACAATGGACATTGGAATGGAAGATCAGTACTTTGGCTGGTACTCTAGTCTCAATTTTCTTGCAACAAAGCAGTTTTGGATCTAGTTTTACATGATTTTTCCCCCATGTGAATGACAGTTTACAATGTTTATTTTTATGCAATTAAAAAGCTCATTTCTCCCTTCTAGTGATATTATTTGCGCTATGTATCTCGAAGCCATAAGAAAATACAAATTTACTCAATCTGATTAGAAAGCCTTGAGTTGAAAGGATATTGTTACAGAATGCTGCCATAGTTGAGGGGATATTTTTCAAATACACATGTATGTGGAAACCCACATCGAATTTTCATATACAGTGTCTATGAAGTAACCATATAGGAAAATAATGGAACATGCAAGTGGTTTGATGCAAACCAAATATATCTGAAGGCTATATTTTATCCATGCAAATTTCACAATTTTATGCTTTTATTCGCCAGGTCATACGACCTGCCTGCATCTGTTATGCACGTGTTAGCAAAACGAACTTGGCCTCACGGGGTGAAAAGGCAAATAGGTATTGACAGTTGACGTGTTAACTCGGTCGATGTAATTATACATTGATACAGTGGGTTGTTTGGTTACTATGGCAATGAACTAACAAGATGTTTCATGGGTTGACTTATATTTTCTCCACCATCTATCATGTTCGATTTGATTCTCCTGCATCCTAACAATAGTCTGACATCTCATTTTCCATTCCGAGAGGCTCCTCAGTACATCTAGAGGCATCTTCTTCCTCTCTTCCTTGCAAGAGTCCATTTATCCCCTTTGGCCGTCGTCTTTTCAAGCGTCTCTTGGGTAGGCCAGACCCACAAAAATCCCTCGGAAGACTTGACAGGGATATCTAAAAATGGAATGGCACGAATTTTGGTCGTCTCCTTTTCGAGGAAAGTTCTTGAAGCAGAGGTGTGACTGGAGGCATTGTCTTGAAGCACTTCATCGAGAGTGGTGGCATTTCCTTGAAGCCTGGGAATATCCTGCTCATAAAGATATGATCCTGATAAAATAAAGAGTTAATTTTCACTTTTCTCTGGGTCATCTTGCTGTTACAGCAATAACCAACAACGACCCTAAAACCTTTTGAAAAAGTTTCACTGCATTCGTGGCAGTGTACAGTGATGCATTTTGTGGAAAATCCCGCCAAAAGCATAAATTTGAAGAATGTTGAGGCAATTCAATTTTATTTTTGTGCGTTGGGCATATATAATATATTATTCTAATATTAATGGTCTTCCACCTAATTGGTTTCTCAAGAGGTTTTAAGGGTATTCATATGAGTGAATGAAGCATTTCTTTCTTTAACACGGAAAAATGGACATTCTGTCATCACTAGTGTTTCCATATCGACACTGGAGAGTTTTTATCCAGAAATTAGCTAGGACGGTTTCTTCCTGTTCAGACATTGAAATGGAAAGGAAATTTTCCACCTAATTTATCCTTGTGTAACCTTAATATCTAAGAAATTTATGTATTCTCTGATTTACCAAACTTCTGGTTTGATGCACTAAATTGTGGGAGTAATTTGGTCGAATGGTTTATAAATTTGGAAAGCACAGCATATCAGCTCTTCATTTCATGAAAAACCTCCTGTCTTTACCGTACTTAGAGTGGTGCTTTAATGACTCCTCCGCAGAGGAGACTCAGAATGACTCAGAATATTGTCTCAGATTTATTTATTTTTCCTTCTAAGGAAAATAACTTCTAAGTTAATTAATCAAGTAACATGTTATATTTTTTGTGCAAGCCTACAGATCGCGACAGTTGATATGAGACCACTCTCACCTTCATATGACTTCTTCATAGATGGGTAATTCGGTTAACTGCGTATTAAAACGTGGAATATCCAGGCTATTAGCCCCTTGAAAAAGAAAAATTGCCAGAACGGGCGTAGTGCTATGAGGAAATTGTTACCGTAGGAACCAAACCACTTCCTGTACAGTATATGTGAGACTGGGTCGCAGGGCCCGAAATTGAAAAATACAAAGGCTTGCCCAAATATATTTGCCCTTTGAAGGGTTAGCGGTGCAGGATGTAACCATATATGAATGTGCCAGTCATTCTGGATAGATTTTTGCAGAAATATAGTGATCCTTCTGCACCCATAGTTGAAAATTGGAAAGAGAAGGACTTGTTCAGTAGGGTGATGTATCACCCCATCGGTCGCCAAAGGGATAATACGCTGAAATGGTCTTAGCTTTGAAGGTGACGCGTATTGAACGTTAACTGTAATACATGGAAGAAACCCCAAGCCAACGACGCCTCCAGTCAGCGATTGAAAAGATGAGGCTTCATGAGGTCGTACTTCCCTGGAATTACTCTGATGGCTTAATTTTTTCCTCATCTTGGCCAGAGAAATATGATTTCTCAACATCGAGTAGACCAGCAATTATCATTATCTCCCTCCACAATGTTTACTCGTTGTCATGATGTGCATTTGTAAATAATATACTCAAGACGCAGAAATTCCTTCCATTCCTCTTGCCAGGTTTTTATGAAATAATGGAGTTCTCTAACGGTATCAAGGCTAATCAAAATTGACAGTGTTGGTAAAAGCGGGATCTTCGTCCTCATTTTTCTCACCTTTCGCATAGTCATAGAGCTTGCCTGCCCAACAGCCTCTTAGGCTGCCAAAGTCGCACTCCTCTAATCTTTTTTTTTTAGATTTAGATTTAGTTGGTGACGCATGACTTGATTATGGATGTCATGGCGCGCAATTCCGACAAATTAAGTGGTTGGAGCCATGTCCATTGCATCACAGGAGTAGAATCACCAGCGATTTCGAAGTAATTCAGAGAGGGGAATCCGAGGGGCGCGATGGAAAGGCAACCGAGTCAGACCATTGCAATATTGCTGCTCAGTCTAACAGAGTGGTGCCACCAAGCAATCCCGACAAGGGCTGAAGAGTTGAGCCCTTGTGGAGGTAGACCATTGCGAAAAGAAGCAGTTATGCTTCAGCAACCATGGCACAGACTGGGAAGCAGTGTTGCTAGATGAATTCCCTTTTTTTATCAGAGCGCATGGCAAAGCACCCGAAAAGTGAGAAATAAATTAACCAATTTATATTTCAGAAATTTATTTGTCATGTAGCTATTTACATATACAAGTATATACAGTATGTATACGAAGGGCATTCAAAAAGTATTGTTTCCTCCTGCTTTCTGTAATTATTGACTCTACAGGAAAATGAGGTGATTGTTCATGAAGAATGGAATGTGGGCATTAATTTGATATTATTTCCTCCTTTCTCTGCGTATCATATCATAGGAAAGGAACATTTTTGCTGGACCTAGTTACATCCACTGAGCTTGGCTACTACAGAGTAGCTGGTGCAAGTGACATGATCATATGAACAGACATGATACTTTGCACTCTCCTTGAATGTATACCGAAGTCTGTTCGTGGTGTCTTCTTGAACTTGTGTTAGGATTCTGTCCTTGAGATAACTACTTTCTGTGGCTGCTCGCTCCAGAAAAGGAATGAGAAGCCTGGAAAGCGATCGCACGTCAAGGCATTCTCCCACCGTACGATCCCAAAGAACCGTGCTCTCTTCTCGATGCCATAGTTGAAGAGGATGCATGTGTTGAGGTGCACGAGACAAAGAGTGTGGCCATCTCAACGGGGACTGCTGAGATCATTCACCACCCCAACCTCTGAATAAGGAAGATTTATGTTATGAGTGCCCCACATGCTCACAAATGCATAGTAACAGGAACGGAGGGAAATTTGCAGTGAGAACATCACTCAAGTTGAAAATACAGATTGAAAGCATTTTGCCCAAGTTATTACTGATGACGGAACCTGGATTTAGTTTTTTAGGCCAGAGAACTTGTTAGGAAGCAAGCACACATGACTGGAATTGATTCACGACCAGTCACTCCAAGGTGACAGAAGATGATTTGTGATGTGCTTCATGGCATTTTATTCATTTCTAAAATGCCTAATAATTCACGTTCCAGCACCAAAAGGGATTACTATTGCAGGACGATTCTAGGTTAGAATAATATGAGAAGCTAAAAGGTTACCAGGGAGAGATGAGCAATTCTGCACGAGGATGGTTAATGGTTCTGCTTGGCAATAGCCCAAGTGAAAGGTCAGAAGATTTTTCAGTCACTAGTGATAGACATAGTGAAGTGATGCAACCCCCCCTTCTCTATTGATCCGACCTCACCCAAAGCTACTTCTCGCTATCAACTGAGTCTGAGCTGGCAGGGAAGCGCCCTGAAATTCTGGAAGGTGAAAATTTCCAGTGCTCGAAACCGGACCCAGATAGGACTATTCAAGATGCAATCATTGTTGAATTTCGATTAGTAGGTCGAATGGGTAGTGTGACAATGACATCTTAATATTATCTCATTCGCAAAAGAAATGAATATGGAGGCTATACTTACTGAACACCCCTCGTACTTGCCATACAGCATGAGATCTGTATGAGAGGTAAATTTGAATTTTCGCTCTCTTCGATATGCTCTTAATCTGTTATTTCAAAGTGTCAGTTTGCGGGTGGCTCTTTAATCATAACCGATTGGTTTACAGACTGATTAATGAGCCCTTTAAGTGTCTTATAGCACCAAACTGCCAGAGTGATAACATTGCTCTAAAAGAGGTGCATGCGGTGTCGAACTTTCTTAAATAGAACATTGTCGATACCTATCTGAATTGCTGAGGTTTAAAGTGAAATTTCTGTCCTTATGAATTTTTATTCTCTGAGGAATTCAAGTGATGTGGGAGCATTCATCGCGATACAGGATTTTTTCACTCTATTGAAGAGTAATGTGGAATATCGCATGAACGACGTCACGTGCCGTAATGAGAGCAGAGGAACGGGATCCCTTGCATCATTCATGATCTCAACCGAGCGGGAAGAATTCTACCGAATCCCATCTGTCATATTCAGGCATCATTTCTGTCTCGATATGAAACCAGAAAAATTGAACATGATAGGGCTGATGAGGACGATCTCGTGTCGGATTGCCGCATTCAGCGCGGCGCAGTGAGAATAATTAAGAAGCAGAAAAAAAAACCATGGCTCGATATACGTTGGAAAACTCCTGCCTCGCATTCCTTCGAAATGCATCTCAAGAAGGAGGGGAAGGTGGCTTGGGCGGAAGAAGAGCAACACAAGCAGTTTCCGCTTGGAATCAGAGTCGTTTGCTACATTGCGACATGGACCGGAATATTTAATTTTTCCAACATCGGAGGTCCCGGGAATATAAAGTTTCGTCTGGCTTCGTGGAGGACTCCATGGGCACTCGTCCACGCGGGCTTCATCGTCTACGGGTGGGTCTACTCCTATCAGCTTTATGATCCTGAATTGAAAACCGCAGCTCTCGCAACCGGAATTCAAGACGCCATGCTCATGTTCGGATCCTTGGGGTCTATCTTTTACTGGCTGTGGAGAGGACAGGCCCTCTGCCAACTCTTCAATCGAGCCTTCTCCCTCGAACGAGGTGATGGAAACGCAGGTCATGGTCGTAGTTCCGGAATCGTCGCAGTTCTTTGCGTGGTGTGTGTGCTACTTCTGCTCTGTTTGCTCACTTATGATCATATCCTAGAAGGACCTCCTCTTGGCCTCATCATCGTCATTCTTTTTTCGCATTTCCCCCTCGCAACACACATTGTGACGCATCCAATTTTCTACGCTTGGATTTGTCGAAAAATCGCAAGATATATCAAGCATATCGTGATGGAGGTGAGTGGCTTTGCCAACGGACAATAATGTACTGGTTTTCTTTGTTCTAATCACTTCTTAGCACGACATTTTTAGTAATTACTTGCAAGCGTTCCTTCCACGAGCCACTTCGGTGCATTCCGTTTTTTTTTTTACCGCCCTTTTATGTAAGCCATTTTAAAAACCATACGGGTGATTCGATTGTGATGTACGCTACATTTTCGGAAAAAAAAACAATTGGCTATCAATTGCACTCTGCTTCTCCAGTATTAAAAGAGTGAGCCGACAGCAGGAATTGTAATTTTAGGCATTAAACTTGGGCTGATTATAGGAATATAATTTTATTACGACACTTTTGAGGGCAACAAGTTGGATTGGGGTTCTTGTGACTAACGTTACATTAATAGGACACAATCACTAGGAGCAAATTTTTTCAACCAAATATCTGCTTCATTTGAAGTAACATCTAACCATCACAATACATCCTTCTTGTGCAAAGATGAAGAATGTAGTTCATAATGTCTAACTCTTGCATCTATTTCCAGGAAGTAATAAATTGCTGAATTTGCTGAACTCATGTTACATGAAGTTGAAAAACCAAGGAATACTAGGTCTAATGTTTGCATTGCACTTGTGCACAAGTTTTGAGGAGTATGTGATATCAAATATAGCATTTCCCATCCTTAAATGGTACCAACTAACGGATTTAAAATTCTGAGAATCTTCTCGTTTGCATTGAATGACCTGAATCCGGTATTTAAAGACTGCAATCTTTTAGCTAGAGCCGGAATCGGAATACTGAACTTGAGTAGCATTTGTAAACACGCAGCAGTTTTCAGGGAGGATCAGACTGGTTCAACTGGTATTACTTGGCGTAATGTAAAACCGTCGAGGAGTGCATGTTAGTAAGGGCATGTAAGAAGGTTAAAAATCCTTGAGCAATCCTAGATAATCATGATTAATGATTAACAATGATAGTAAATAGTAATGAATAGTAAGTAATAGAATTAAATGTGGAGTAAATAAATGTAATTTTTTGTTGTGCCTTTCCTCCTTTGAAGGTGAAGGAAGGGAAGATGACAGGAAGGGAATGGATAGACGAGAGGAAGAATTTGGAAAGTTATTGCAAGGAGGTGGATCTCGTGTTTGGTCCCCTCTTGATCATTCATTTACTGGTCGACGCAGTTCTCATCACCGTCTTCTTGTTTCTCAATGTGAAAGCCGTGCAAGCCTGGGGCTTGTTTTCCAACGAATCGGGAATTCACTCATGCTTCATCCTATCCTTCTCCCTTTCGATGATCATCTTTCACATTTCGGCTGGATGGGTTCACGAAGAGGTGAGATTTACAGAAAGTAATTTTCACTGCTTTATCATTTTTACTTATTCCTCGTATTTCAGAACGGCATAAAACTCCTTGATGAAATTAGTTGGAGTGATTGGGGTTAGACGAAGTCGTGTGCCCTTCTTCGGAGACGATGCCTGTTCCTTTTCAGTAGATGCCCCCCCCCCCGGTTATCAGAAACTTTGGAACACTTGGATTTGTGATTATAAATGATGTTTTTCGGGAGCTACCTTCAATTATATATTTAATTTCCCAAGGACCCTCCACGGACCATTTCGGGAGTGCCCCCCCCCCCCCCCCCCCCTTAGCAGCAGGACAAGGAAAGCACGAGGCTTTTCTTCAGTCGTTTAACTGAGGTTCAATTGTTGTGCAAGCTATTCACGCATGCGAATAATATTTGTAATATTTCATGTGCAAGCATAGGCTATTCACGAGCCAAACACGACATAATGTGCCTTTATTGATTTCTCATTGGCCTTCATCTGCCGCAGTCGAAGCGAGGTATAAAACCAAAGCAACGCAGTATAATCTTACCATCATTGACAGTCGAAGCAGATATGCAAGTAGGGGAGATTGGGGTACAGTGGAATAATTTTCCAAAATTGTAATAAAAAAATTAACAGGAAATTATTTTGGAATCCAATTGGTCCATTCACTAGAACAGGGGTTCTTAACCTGGGGTCCATGGACCCCCAGGGGGTCCGTGGGGTAGGTCCAAGGGGTCCGTGGAGGGTCCTTGGGAAATTAAATATATAATTGAAGGTAGCTCCCGAAAAACATCATTTATAATCACAAATCCAAGTGTTCCAAAGTTTCTGATAACCGGGGGTGGGGGTACATGCATAATACTTGAGGATCTGGGGAGTCCGTAGGTGCAAAAAGGTTAAGAACCCCTGCACTAGAGATAATTCTGGCTAAAGCCAAAATGATTTGGGCTTAATTAATTTAAATCTAAATTTTAATGAGTTTTCTGCCGAAGACTGATATTTCAAAAATGTCAAATGCCGTCAGTGTCCAACTTGGGCACAGTCGAACCCTATTGCCCCACGTGACGCTATTGGGTGATGTGGGGCACTTATTGCTTTCAATAAATAGCGTTCCAAAAAGTCTGTTGTTACTGCTTGTGTTCAGCTTGAATGTAATCTCTTCCATCTTCTAATTACTCTAATGAGGGTCATGGGCAGAAACATCAATTCTTGCTCGCGATTTTGCAGTCTTATTTTTTAATATTTCATGTTATTTTTCAGTAACCTAAAAAATGTCATTTCTCAAGTAGCATAAGAGCCCAAGTTCCAATGGGACAGTAGGGGCATGCTCCAATGCACCATGCGCCACAGCTATCTGCCCCACTGTAATTTAGCCTTTTATATATAATTGTGCTGAGAAGCGCTCAAGCAATCTGACAAAAAAGAAACCTTTTAATCAGGGATCTCAAATTGATTCGCATGATTCATTTCATGGGAAGCGCTTAAGTATTATTTTAGACGATTAATAGCAGGGGTCTGAAACTTGCGGCCCGCAAACGCGCTCAATGCAATCCGCAACCCACCTGCGTTCACCGAGAGAGAAACGTTTCAGGCCCAATATTAACAAAATAAGGAAATGATAGATTATTCACGATTTTACACTTTTACACTGGCCCGCAGAGAGGTCCAATCTTGGCCATGCACACCGAAACTCGTTTCAGTGTGCATACAAAATTGCAAAATATTAATGTTTAAACAGTTACAAATAAATTAACTTACTTAATTACATTTAATTAATTTATTGATTACTAATAATAGAATGCAAATAATTTTATTGAAAATCTGTGCAGTATTTTGCGATTTTGCAGTATAGGGACAAGATAAAAGTGCATGAAATGAAAAAATTGGCAAGAATTTCACTTATTGGACAGCTTAACATAAGGCTACATTCCCATTATTCCCTTGTGGAGCCCTCTGGAAACTCCTGTTCCCATTAAATCGTTATATCTCATGAAGCAGTTGAGCGCCAATATTGAGTTTGGTGTCGTTCGAAAGGGCATAACGTGCACTTTTGAATGAATTATTATAACTTTGGATTCATGGAGGGTATAGTACAGATTTTAGTCGCTGAAATCGGTCCAGCTGTTCGATCAATTAGAATGTCGGCGCTGCCGCGAGAAATAGTCATATCTAATAAGTCATTAAATCTTGACTTTGGTAGCGTTAGAACCGGCATTATTGCACTTTTTAATGAATATTGCAACTTTAAAGTCATGATGGCATGGTGCAAATGTCGGTCGCCGAAATCGGTCCGATTGTTCGATCAAGTGGAATTTTGGGTAGCACCGCTACAGTCATACCTCATGAAGCAATTGAGTGCCAACCTTGAATTTGGTATTGTTAGAAAGGGAAATTTATCTCGTGGCAAGTTCAACCAGAATTGCTCTCTTCGATTTGACATGAGCATAAACTTAGCAAATACGCTACCCTTTAAAAAAATATATCACCAGTAGCAGTTTTTGCGAGAATGCTTCTGACAATGAAATTAAACTTAATAATGATGTCAAACGGTGTCTATTATATATGTCGTAGGGTTTTGTGGAATTCAGGGGGATTTGGAATCTCCCTAGGGAGAGACAGGATTCCATTAAACCCGCGGGTTTAGCGGAATCCTCTCAAAGTCCTGTCGATGTCACTATACCCCAGGGAGATTCCATATCTCCCTGGCTTGAAAATTACCCTTCCCACGGCTTGTCCCGCCGAGGGCAATTCTCCTTTCGTTTGCGTTTACGGGATTATTTAAGGCTGAAGAATACCGTCTGTTCCCGACAAAAATTATTGGATATGGAATCCTCCTAACACTTTTATTGAGGGTAGCCATAAAGTGATTAACTGGAAATGACATGTGAGTGCCACCCTTTTGGGAAAGAATGCGCAGGGTTGTCAGATTCTGTTGGAATCCTCCCATGGCCGCCACGACATCCGCAGGACACCTACACGAAGAAAATGCATAAAATTCATATCACGTGTCGACAACCCTAGCTATTTTTATAACCCTTCCCGTAATGGGCGAGGGCAAAACCCTAGAATTTATTGCTCAAAACCTCATACGTCAAACGTGTTAGCCGTCTTTATTTGGAAGTATCCGAAAACTTTGGTCGGGAATAGATTAATTGGCGCCGTGAGAATCAGTGAGAATGCCGCGCCTGATTCTGCCTGCCACTAACGAAGAAAGAGAAGCTTGGAAGACAGTGGTTGCGTCAACGAAGGTGAAGGCTTTGAGGGCAGAAACAAGTTACGCCAATGGGGATGCAGGATCCATCTGCAAGTGCAACAAGTCTTGTCGCACCAGCAGGTGCAGTGTAAAAAAAAAAACTAGGCATAACATGCTCATCCGAATGTCATGGGGGAAAGCCGTGCAGCCTCCCAAAATAAGACAAAATAATATTGTTAATTGACTCCGCTTCGAATCTTATTGACGTTGATTTTTTTTATTTCTATACATGGACTGAAATGAAATTCCATTTCCCCGGGGTGACTTGATAATTCTCTTTCTCCCTAAGGGTAAACAAAATGATGGAAGCATTGGCAGCTAATCCGGGTGATTTGGAATCCCCCTAGGGGGAGGTGACATAATGGAGGAGACATTTGAACGAAATTTGCTGATCCGTTCCGTAGTAGTTGATATGACGGAATCAGTTATCTCTGAGCCGAATATTGTCTGGTATCTTCAATTTCAGAAGATCATACTACTTGTACATTCAGTTAACTTCAACATATAATCTTGGGAACAAACGGTTGGATGCCTGTAACTCCATTTAATCAGCCTGGACAAACCATGCTTGTATTTCAAAGTAAGCACGTTAGAATTACTGGATGCTATACATGAATTCGTTGGAGTAACTTCATCACTTTCGGAAACGTTCCTCACAAGCAGCACGCATTTTTTTGTTACTCAACATGGTTTTTGCTAATTTTATATGGAACACTTGAATTTGTGACGTTCGTAAGTCTTTTTCCTAACTTTCTCCACTGAGATTAGCGACTTGAAGGAATGGAAACAGGAAACTTCAATTGTTATCGGACGTTTCTGGAAGCATCGAACTTCACCTAAAATATTAGAAAAACGCCTTTTTTTGCTTTACCATTGCGAAAATACATTTGGTCTCACTTTCAAGTTTTAGAGTGATTGATAAAATAGTAATTGGGATCAGTCTGGTGCATACACGCATCCCAAATAACCTACACCGGTGAAACGCCCCAACCACTTGTAAACATTACGTCCAGAGATGTCCTCTTGGCATTGCCTAGCAATTAGACTCAACAACGGTCCAACTTCGGTCCGCATATGACATGGTATTACAATGGGTAAGCAGTCTTAAAAGCGTAACAGATTCCCATTCCTTTAGTTGGAAAGATGCCTTGCATTCATTGAGAATTGACGCTTCGATCCGCAAGCAAAGGCTACCAACGGCTATACAAGAGCAACGTTTGGATCGAACCAGTTAACTACCCAAGTAGCTTTGGGTGATCCAAAACTCGTCCATGGACAGTCCAGTTGCCCAGAGGCGGTCATGCTTTGGATGCATTCAAGACATAGGATGCCATCGCCATGGATCGATATAATCTCATGCATTCTGAGCTTTATTCGAGCAATAGGCATAACATGCACATCCAAGTTTCATGGGGGAAAGCCGTGCAACCTCCCAAAATAAGACAAGTATATTGTTAATTGACTCAGCTTGGAATCTCACTAACGTTGATTTTTTTCTTTCTATACATGGACTGAAATGAAATTCCATTTCCCCCGGGTGTCTTCATTATTATCTTTCTCCCTAGGGGTGAACAAAATGATGGAAGCATTGGCATCTAATCCGGGTGATATGGAATCCCCCTAGGGCAGCGCTTCCCAGCCCAGGGGTCGCGACCCCATTTGGGGTCGCCAAGGTCATGTTTGGAGTCGCGAACCGGCAACTAAATGTCATGTTATGATTTTTCTTTGCGATTTTAGCGCATAGGTGAAGGAGCCTGTCGAACTTCGGCCAATGCTTGGGGTCCCGAACGGTACGATCGTGATTTTTGAGGTCGCGCATGAAAAAGGTTGGGAAGCCCTGCCCTAGGGGGAGGTGACATAATGG